GTGTGTTCACTACTGTGTGTGTGCACTTGGATGGGTTAAATGCAGAGCACGTACAGGTCACCACTTGGCCACTCATCACTTCACTCACTCACTCACTCAACAAGACTTTAAACGGCTGTAACCACCATCAACATTGAGGGTGACAAATCATCGCCAATAATCAGAAATGGCAAGATTGTCCACCTCATTTTTGATGCTGTTCTGTTTGTAAGTAAGATGAAAAAAAGTTTTAAGTTACATTTTTAGGCTGGCCATTGGTCTAACAGCGATCGGCAATGTCAAAATGTTTGAGATGGCCAATCAAATCAAAGAAGGTGGGCTTTACTGTTACCAAACATAAATCCCAGCAAGATGCTTCAATTTTCTTTTTATTTAGTGTGAGATATTATATATTTAATATTTAAGTAGCTAAACATTTAATATTTGAATATTGTTTTACAAAATGTTAAACAACCAACAGTAATATTCAGTGACAACCTACTTTATTTAACTTTTTAAAAAATTGAATATATAGGCTGAATCATTTGCATAATTCATGTAATTCATAACTGAATTTGATGAGACAAGAAATATTTTGCCATTTTGTGTTTTTGACATACAGTATTAGGCTTACGAATTAAAATAAATGTGTACATATTTTAAAATAAAAAATATTTGCAAATAGTTCAAATTCACAACTTTAAGTCCATTAAAAAAAGATCATTACAACACCCCCCCTCCCAAAAAAATAAAAATAAATAGAAAATAAGAAAAATCACCCTACCTTCAATGTTCAAGACATGTTTACAGCCTTGGCTCAGAGCCAGATACGCCAAACAAAAGATCTTTTATTACAGAATTATAGTTTATCTTCATGCAGAAGCAAATTACAGCTCTTCCCCGCCAAGAAACATTTGACACAATCACTGTTTGCCACACACTGCATTCAGACTTATAGTGAGATGGCAATTTTGGTGTCAAAACTGATTATTAAAACATACTAGCAATTTAATTAGTTTAATCCTTTGAAGTGAATGTGAGAGACAGGTGGAACCATTATTAAGTCCGAATCACTACGGCAGTGCAGCCTGTGCAGGAGGAATGTAAACCGAGTGCCCTTGTGCCTGCCACAAAGCGTTCGCAATAAACCAGCTGTGATAAGACATACACTGGTGTATGTGCAGACGTAATACAGCCTGAAAACATCAGGAAGTCTTTTAAAATAATGCACAAAAACAACAAGACTACTTTGTGTGTTGTTTTTGTCCTCGTTCAGGACATGCTTGTCTATTATCAGAGGAAATTTTATGTCTGAATATGATTCTGCAAACAGAGAATCCTAATTAAAAGGTATGATTGAAGCGGAAAAACCAAAGCCAAGCGGCCTCGTGGGAGATTAGAGGCAACTAGTCAGAATTAAAAGCCTTCTAGTGGATTAGGCCGGATTCAAGTATGTTGCTCCACGTGTTTGGTCAGGGGGAGCAAGCCGCCCCTAGACGTGCATGATTAGAAACAACAGTAAAATGCTAAAAATGCTAAAATAGGTCATTTTAACAGTAATCAGGACTCAACAGCATGAGCTTTTCACTCGCATTTGCAACTAAAATGTATCTAGGAACATGTGTGTGAAAAAAGGTCCTCAGAAATCCCAACACAGCTTAATGTGATTGTTAAACTTCAAAAGCCTATGATTTAATCAAATAAATATGAGCGTTGCATGTTTTAAAGTAACAGCGTGGCAATCAATCAGTGAATACTGCATATTTACTGTTGATAAATTATGACAATGTTTAGTGTTTATATTGAACTATGTTGTAGATGGTTATAAGAGAGCATATTTTATCTTTTTGAAAGAGCTACCGGCAATAGTAAAGCATTGACATTTTAAAATAAGAGTCTTGGTATATTTCAGGACCGTTTATAAATAAAAGTCCGCAGTATGCATAAAGTTTTTATTTTCTTCGTATTATAATTGGTATTTCGGTTACACAATAAACTGCATCTGAACGCATCTGAATGTTATGCATAATTGCATTTGTGCATATTCTACAGACAAACAAGTCCTAAAACTTTCATTAAGTGAACTTGAATATTGCTCACAGAAGTAGTAAAGACTTTAAATCAGTTTTGTGAGAGTGAGTATAAGAAGATTGGCTCTTGAGAAGCTATAAGTCCGGGTGTGATTATAACAGCTCTTCTCATTCTAACATCAGAATCGGGCCTCTTCACTCCTGAATAATGAGGTCTGATAATCTGCAGCCCAAGCTGCTCTCCGGCTGGACCAAACCAGACAGAAAATACCAAGCCAAATGAGGAGGCCACTGGGGTGAACGCAACACCTCCACACTGAGGCGACAACATCAGGCGTCCATTCGGATGAGGCAACAAGAGGCAACATAGGTTGAGTTGTAAAATGTAGTGCGCTGCCTACCTAAACTGCATTTTTGGGCAACATCAGCTCGGCTGGTTCAGAAATGCATTCTACGTAGGCAGCTCACTATAGGTAATGAGACACAGCCATATAAGCGAGTCAAGGTGACCTGGTCCCAGCACTCACAGAGAGCTCCAGGAATAGTTTCTGCATCACTAACAGTTTAAAGACATTATTTTCTGATGCAATAGTAGTTGAGCCGATATGAAATCATTTATACTAGAGCTGATACAAAGATTGAGTTATAGGAAAGTTCACTGCCAGTCAAAAGTTTGGACAGACTTGACTGAATGATTTCATCTTTATCCTGATAAAAAAAAGTTTTTTATATTTTTAATATGTAAATGCTTGAAGGAATTAGTTTTGTAGACAAATATAAATCCCATGTTTTTTTTAGCTAGACAGTAGAGGCCATATGCTTGTGATAATTTTGCTGCCGATATAAAAAAGGATTTTATTGTACCTTTTGTGTTAATTTCATTTAAAGCAATACGTAGTCACTGTATCTATATAGATTATTATTTTTATAACCATATTTATTTTGCTGTAGACTATTTGTATGTGCTTAGTAACAACAGCTTTTCTATCCAGATTAGGGCTGTCGCGATTCGTCGATTCTATTCGACTATTCGATTTTAAAAAATCCTCGACTAACCGGCAAAATACTGGAAGTGGCGCATTTCACGGACGAGAATCCATAAAACACATTATTAGACTGTTTTCCAAGGCCTCATGATATATTAAACCCGTTTAAAGATCATATTTAAGCATAACTGTGAATTCACAAACGCTACGATTTAATTAAATAATTATATGTGGTGCAGTTATAGGCGTGTAGGTTACGTACGTGCATCTCAAAGTGGCTCATGATTTCTTGCTTTTGATACTTTATTTGAACTAATTATTATTGCATCATTGCTATTATATATGTATTTTAAGTTAATTTAAAGGCTTTTGTTCACTTAGCCTACATCTGTTTTTACCACAAAAATTAATTATTAATTATAATATTTTATTATTAGTAGACCAGAACACATGGACATGTTGTCATTCTTACACTATAATACTGAACTTTGATTTCAGTGATTTGGACTATGAGATGGACACTTGCTTCTGTTGTTTACACATTTCTAAGAGTACTTTTAATAGGCTACTTAAAATTTTTAATAATACAATTTTAACACTTGATTCTAGTGGACTCTAAACATTGCATTTATTTAATGTGAAAACCCATCTAGTGGGGTTAATTGAAACATGTTTTTTCCCCTTTATAGTTTCACTCACAGCTGTAATGAACAGAAGCCCAGAACATGTGGATATATTGACATTAAGAACATGCTGACTTTCTCAGACTTTTGTAATTATTTTATTTTTATTTATTTTTAATAGGTTTGTTTACATTTTTACTCGTTTAGTTTTACATTTCGTCAATGGCTTGTTTACATTTATACTTTTTTATGGTACACTACTGAATGGCAAAGTTGCAAGTTTAATAAAATGTTCTTTAAAATTGGGGGTTTTTTTTGTGGGAAATTAATCATTTAGATTAATCGATAAATTAGTCGATAGATTAATCGAAATAAAAATAGTCGTTAGTGGCAGCCCTAATCCAGATCATGTTGCAAATGCAAAAAAATATTTAAATATACTGAATATCGGAGATAGAGAAGGAAAAGCAATCAACAAGGGTCTAGAATACTTTCAAACTCCAATACTGTTTAAAAAGCATCCTAGGATTGACTAAAGAAATTAAGTATAAGATAATTTCCATTTGTTTATCATTTTGTAGTCACTATATAATTCCTTTACTTCGTTTTGTGTTATTTCATAACTTAAACTTTACAGTTATATAAAATGTGAATAATAATAAAAAATACTGTAGGTGTGTCCAAACTTTTGACTCATATTGTCCAAAAACAAATATTAAAAATGTATATACTAGTACTTTACAACTTGCTTAATAATTTATATTTTAGAAGTATAAAATGCTCAATACCAAATTGTGCTGTTTGAAACAGAATAGAAATGAGCTAAACCTGGAATTAGGAAAAGAATGTTAACACAAGGCCTGTGTCTGTAAAGCTTATATCAACAATCTATCTCAAGTCCTCACCGGAACACAAGAGACCAAACGACAAAGCGTCAAAGTAAACTTCAATCCTGACTTTTCAGGCCAAACATGTCAGCAACTCCCAAAGCGAAAGCACTACAACTGTACAACAATCCCCGTTTTGTTTCTATGAAATGGTATTTAGACGTGGGCGTCTCTACATGACAAGGAAACACAGCTAAAGACCATTAGAAACGGTTCTAGAAGTAAATTATTTGGGATAAAGTTGACAGGAGAGTGCTGGTACAGTAGCGTTCGCCCTGAGGGAAACTCAACAGGTGAAGTTCACAGTGCAGCATTCCATTGGCTAAAGCCAATCTCCGTGAAACAACCTTATTATCATAAACAAAATTAATATACGCTATGTGGGTTAAAACATTCTTATATTCTAACGCTTAGGTTTTTATTCCACAAACAAAAATAAAACTGTTTCGGAAAAACTGTAAGTTAGATGCCATTCCTCCAGGCAGCGATACTTACAACATTGTCGCTTTTATTCGGATAAGCAACTCTTCCTCCGCCTCTCACGGGCATCCTGATTTCTCTGATCAAAAAAACTACTTCAGCGCTGGAATAATGGCGATTATTTCGGATCTGTCGTTGTCGTCAGCCTCTTGGATTCAGCATGGCTTTGAGCAAAAGATCCTTGTGGAATCGTTGCTGGTGGAGCGATCAGCGTCTGAGTACGCGAGGGCAGAGCCTGGGAAACATTTTTGCTACAAGCGACTTTCAACCCAAGCCAACCTACTTCACGATTGTACCAGTTACGGGAAAGGTATGTCATGTGCTCGCGCCCAGCTTATGTATAAGCCCTGCGTTGTAATTAAAGAATACCTATATAATATAAACAACATAGTTATAATATATTAACAATAATCCAGTTTAGTCTGTTAAATTCAAATGATCTTTAATGTACGCGTTTCGTAATTAATCATCCTCCCCCGCTTATCGAATGGTTGCGCCCAGCGGGCAAACATTGATTTAACTGTTCCCTGAGAGAGTTGCATGATAACACACTAAACCGTGTTTACTGTCAAGGGTAGCGAACAACTTCTGATATCACCAAAGAGAAGTTTTAATCTGTGTTAATTCTATAAGAAAGCATGTCATGTTTAATATAAGCATGGTTTATTACAGAAACAGTTTAATAATAGGTGTTTATAAATCGCAGATAGCCTACAGTATGTATTTTGAAACAAGTCAGATATTGATGATAGTCATTAAAATCTTAATAAAAATTATAAATCGTGAGGTGTGCACATCCCTGGTGCAAGACAAAATGCCTGGGGAAAATTAATTTTTCCTTGAAAGATTATAAATCAAAATCAATGTTCCATAACTTAATTCTAGCTATATTTACTGTTAATAGTTAAGAAGTCTTGTAAGAAGTGTAGACATGAGTGTACATACATTTTGTCTGTATGTGTTCTCCCCTGACATTGTTATTGATAGCACCATGCTCTGCCAGCTACATTAGAAGTACATATATAAGTACATATACATCTTTTTTACTTCCTTATATCTATCTATCTATCTATCTATATATATATATAAATAAAACACAAAACAACTAATATTTCCAAAACTAAATTAAGTAACATTATAAATGTGCCTGGTGTTGTTGGCCTATGTCAACAATAGTCTATCCAAAGTCCTCACTGAAAGACGAGGGACCAAATGACAAAGTGTCAAAACTCCAGTCTTGATATTTCAGACCAAACTTGTCAACACTCTCAAAGCTAGACTCCAAAGCCAAAGCACTATAACAATTCCCTTAAGTCTTTTCATGAGATATTTTCATGAGGATCTAAATTTATCTGTTTAGATCTAAATTTAAAACATCTAAATTACAAAAGAACACTATGCAGAAGCTTCTGGTATAACTCATATCTGAGTGTAAATAAACTGCTATACATAATTCTCAAAGTGCTTAAAGCAACAGAACATAAAAAATTAGAAATTTTGCTTTGGAAATAAATTGAAATAAAGTTTATATTTATTTATATATATATATAAATAAAACACAAAACAACTAATATTTCCAAAACTAAATTAAGTAACATTATAAATGTGCCTGGTGTTGTTGGCCTATGTCAACAATAGTCTATCCAAAGTCCTCACTGAAAGACGAGGGACCAAATGACAAAGTGTCAAAACTCCAGTCTTGATATTTCAGACCAAACTTGTCAACACTCTCAAAGCTAGACTCCAAAGTCAAAGCACTATAACAATTCCCTTAAGTCTTTTCATGAGATATTTTCATGAGGATCTAAATTTATCTGTTTAGATCTAAATTTAAAACATCTAAATTACAAAAGAACACTTTGGAACATGCAGAAGCTTCTGGTATAACTCATATCTGAGTGTAAATAAACTGCTATAAATAATTATCAAAGTGCTTAAAGCAACAGAACATAAAAGAGTAGAAGCATAGATCATTTTATGTGCAGTATATGAGCAACACCCTGTCTGAGATACAACTATGACCTCAATGATCCCACTCAGAGCAGCGTACTGTCAACAGAAGCACCCAGTGTGCTTGTTTACTCATACATGAACTCTGTCACAGAAGTCTTTTGACATCTCCCAGCATCCTCTCTTATGGATGATGTCACCACAAGGGGTGGTGCCCCAGCGTGGCTGTGTTAGGCAACAACATTACGGATCAGAGCAGCGTTTAAGTATCTGAGTGAGTGATGTCACGATGTGTGTTCTGTGAAGTATATCATGTTTCACATGCATTAGCATGAATCTTTTATGTCATAATGTGTGGTCAAATATGTGCTTCTCCTATCTGCTCTGTCTGCAGTATTTGTTGTGGATGTGTGCATGTGATGGAGTCGTGTGTTGTGTTAAGTGATATTCTGGTGACTGACCTTGCTGTAATCATGCTGTAATCTGATTCAGTGACATAGAAGAACAATTCTGCATTCCCCAAAGAACCAATTTTTTATTAGTGTGAAAACGTTTTATTAATCTAAAGAACCTTTTTCTAAAGAACCTTTCTGTGGAATGAAAATATTCTCTTAAAGGTTCTTCATTTAACCATATATGACAAGAATAAAGAACCTTTATTTTTAAGCAATATGGCAACATTTGAAAATGTTTTTTTCATATTTTGAATAATTTGGACACTACTTAGTTTAGAGGAATAGGTCTAACAAAAATGCATTCTACATATCAGGGAATAATTCAAATACAGTTCCAACTTATGAATTACAATTCTGATGGCTATTCTGTTGGCTACACAACATTTAATATACTCTCTCTCTATACACCGCCTTGAATTTATAATTCATAAAACCCCGAGATGTGCGGAATAGAAGCAAGAAGGGACCTTTTGTGTCGCACAGGTGCATCAAGTGTGAACTCAGCAGAGCACAAAAGCCTGTTTCTGTGGCCTGGATTGGATCTGTCACTGAAATGAAAGGGTACGAAAGCTGCTCTATCCCTCGGCAAATCCATGTTAGGTGTGAGGAAAGGTGAGAAAAATAACAAGGGTTCAATAAAACCTGGCATATGGACCTAATTAGCACCTACAGAAAAAGCATGTCAGAAGAGCCGCATAAAATTACGTAAAAGCACTCTGGAGTGAAGATGCAGCTCAGAATGAAGTCTAAAAAAACATTGCGATCCAGTGAAATAGTCAAGCGTGGCCTAGCGGGCATGTTTTGATTCAGCTGTCTTGCACATTCTAATTAGAAAAGATTAACAGGCTGTTGAGTTCACGCAGTGGAGATGAAGTACAGTGTGGCGGCTTTGCTGTTATCACTAGTTTGCTAAAGCCCTTATTTCAATTTAATCAGAAAATGGGAATGCTTCTCACCACAATCAACATATTGACCATGGAATAACATCTTAAAAAGCAATGACAGTCCATCAGAGGAGGCAAAGAAGCAAAAGAAACAAAATGCTCTGTTATTTTAATCAGTTTACTTAGTAATGTGCATAACCTAGATGGATATAATGCTATCTATTTTGCAGTAGCCTGAGTGAGTTTTAACCTTGTAAACCTACTGTCATATTTGATACGCAAAATTATCAACATGATCAAAACTTTGCTGAAAAGCCTGTTGTACACAATCTACTACATGCCTTCTGTTGTCTGATTGAAAGTTTACACTTTTTCAGCAAGTAAAAGGCCATTTAGTAATTGTACAATTAAAGTAATTGTAAAAATGTCCCCCTTCAGGTCAGGTTCACGTTTCTTTTTGCTGTGTAAGAATAACTTTTATATTTTTAGTAATATTTCAAGATGAACACACTATACTGTAGCAACTTAGGTTTACTTAATTATCCATATATAATTTTTAGAAAAAGCAGTTAAAATGTGATTAAAATCAGGCCTTTGAGGAATGTTTATTTGATATATTATTGGGAATTATGGAGTGATGACTGATATTTATGTAAGTAGTCTGCTATATTTTCATAAAGATCTCATTGTTTTACATTGCAAGTAATGTAGTTTCATCCTACTTTTTGGCTATATAAATATCAGCAACTGCACCAAATTGTATATTTTTCCTGAGGAGTTTTTTTTTCCCTACTCAAGCTCCATATTCTCATTATATGAGCAAAACTATAACACTATATATCAAATATGATACTCAACAAAAACACATATGCAAACTTTTTTTTTTTTTGAATTTGTGTAAAGGTTCAATAAACCGTTCTATTAGGGGGAAAAAAGATTTTTATTTTTTTTTTACTATTATGTAATATGTCAGGCTTTACAGGTTAAATACTACACTGCCAGAGGAGGCTGTTGGCATAAAGGCTTCTTTGATTTTAAACTGACGAATCAGAATGCACATGCAACATCATTTCAGCATGCAAAAGGCATTATAAATAAAAGCCCACCCTCTGGATATCACACATCATTACAGGTCAAAGGTCAGTTATAATGTTTCGTCCTGCACAGCACTGGCTGGACTCTCAGAGACTGGTATTGCTGCTGAAATATGCATTGACATGAAGTATGAAGGGTGTGCCCTCTAGATTACACTGCCTGAAGCTACGCTTGAATTAATAATACATCTCAAAACCATGAGCCCAGCTCGAAATAACCGAGATGAATGGATGAATAAATAAATAAGTCCACACAAAGTACAAGTCAGTGTCCAGTTCCTGCTGCAGAACAGTCATGTCAGCTGGAACACAGCAGATCTGACATAGTCTAAATCTCATCATTTAAAGCATACTTTAGATTTATGTATAGCATGTGAAGCTGTCTTAACTTGCGGTTTAGGTTACCATCATTATGAATAAAAGTAAAATGGACCTGAGTCTCTAGTACACTCAGCTGGTAAGAATTGTTCATGTAATACCACTTTTAAACACAAGAGGAGTACTTTCTCATTCATGAGAAAGTGAAATTATCTAGAAATTAACCCAGGTTGACTTAATTGGGACATTGTGATAATAGAAAACTAACAAGATTTCCATCTTTAAAAAGAAAACTAACAAGATTTCCATCTTTAAAACTGTGAGCTTATTTTTTTTTATACAATATATTCAGATATGAAATTATTTGAACATGTACTGAATAGTATGAATGACCCATATCTCTCATTAGCCTGAAAAATCATTTATTATTTAAAAAATGAAGAGAAATGAGATCTACTGTATTTGCAAACAGCCTAAACATACTTATGTGGATGTGATAATAAACAAAGTTTGCACAGACCCCTTGTGCACCTGCCTGTGATGACAATAATTGATTAGTTCAATCACAACAAGACTACAAGAGTAGAAGACACATCCTCTG